ATCTCTCTCTCTCTCTCTCTCTCTCTCTCTCTCTCTCTTCAACTTCCCTCTCCTCCCCCTTTCCAATCCAAGCCCTCCGACATAGTTTTCCTCCCGTCCTCTCCCCCCAGCCTCCTCCACTTTGCGCCCCCAACTGGTTAGACTCACCCGCACCCCTCCAACCCACTACAGTGCCCTGGCTAGTGGTCAGTCCCCTCTCTGTCCGCCATCACCCAGTGTCCTCTCCCTTCGGTCCCCACAGGGAAAGGGGTAGAGAGAGGTGGTTTCCCCGTGGACAGCCCGTCACCTCCCTACTTATGTACACAGCTACCACCATTGTGCTATGGGTTGTCCAGTTTGCCGCCATCATGTCTTATCACCAGAGATTAATTATAACTGACGACTGTCAGCGACAAATGTTTCGCTGTTTGTTAATACTTGACAACCTCAAAGTTTCTATGAAAAGATCTGGTCTCATATCCACCTATTGATATCATTTTTCCACGTTTATTAGAATTCAATAAATTTGTTGAAAGGGAGAGAATTATTATAGCTTTTGCTTACTTCCCCTTGTGATAGAATTGTTTACGTTGACGGGGAAAATGACAGAGATTCTGAGGTTGTTTAGGAATCGAAAAAAGTGTGATATGTATTACATTGGTTCCATGCACACTGTATAATTATTGTATTTGTGAAAGTTCTTCACTTTGGCCGCCTACAACTTCCGAACCACTTAACTTTCGAATTTGGAAAAAAAAATAACGGTGGTTCAGAATCATTGTGCAGAGACAAACGACTCTAAATTGAGAACGGCGTTTCAGCATCATCTCTCATTTATTACTTCACCTAGATGAGCAACGATGTATGAAGTAAACTGTTACCCCCATCTTTGATTGTTGTTTGAAGACTGAGTAAAACCTCATACCATTTGATTAAGATTTGACTTTGGTAGTGTCATTTGGAACAGCAGCAACAACAGCAGTCAACAAAAACAAGTAATTATTTATTGCATGGGCAACCACGAAACAATATCAATAGCAACAAGTGCAGTGGCAAAAGAGCAAAATCATCAAAGTTCAATTCTTTCAACAAAAACAAAAAACAAAACAACAGCAAACACACCCCCAAACAAAATGTAAC